TGGGAGATTCTACTCTGATTCCACAGTCATTCATGAAACTTCTTGGCTACCTTGGCCCACGTTCTCCTTCTCAGTTTAATATACACCACAGAGTTGTGTGATGATAAAACTGGGCGGTAAGGAAGAATCACAGAAAACCCTGACTTGGAAGAGCAAATTAATGAACCTCCACCCACCCACCCCGTTTAAAGCTTCTCCACATTTTGTTCACTTTATTCTATAGCATAACAATCTCAACAATCATTTCACTCCTACTGCAAAGATTTCATACCAAAAGAAATACTGCTTAATGGCAACAGAGTCTCCTGTTCAAGATTCAAGATATATCCTTATAGTTCTCTAGCCATATGCAAAACTGAAGGGTATCTTTTGAATATTTCCAGTGGCCCATTTCCCTTAGAACTTTATCCTTTGAAAGGCTCTATGCCCACAACAATAAACTAGTATTTTTTTAAACACACACACACTAATATGGCTTTCTGCATGTGCGGGGGGATTGAGGGGACAATCTGGGGGGCAGGAGTCAGCTGCAGTGCCCCTGAAGCTAGCATGTGCTGCATTCACAGAAGGCATTAATTTTTTTCGACTGCAGTTCTGACTGCAGCCACTAGGGGCATAGGGAAGGTAGAGCACTAGGGTTACCAGGTCCCCCTGGCCACCAGTGGGATGTGTGGGGGTTGCCAACTTCAGGTTGGGAAACTTCTGGAGATTTGGAGGTGCAGCCTGCGGAGGATACGGACCTCAGATACAATGCCATAGAGTCCACATTCCAAAGCATCCATTTTCTCCAGTGGAATTGATCTCTGTGGTCTGGAGATGAGCTGCAATTCCATGGTATCCCCAGGTCCCACCTGAAGGCTGTGATCCCTACAGAGCACAGTAAAAAGCACCCAGTATCTCCTGGAAGGGCCTTTAGCAAAGTTTACTAGGAGGCTGGGAGAAACCGTTTGCTGATCAGATCATATTAAACTCATTAGCCAAGCCAGCATTGGAGCACACAAGATGAGTCAGAACAAGCTATAGTCCTTGTTAGGATGCAGCCTCCTAATAAGGTCACTGTCTCCAACAGTCTATGGTTTGCACAGCCAGATCTTGCAGAGGGGCAGCCCTGTTAGTGAGTGGTAGCAAAAACAAACAAACAAAACCCCTTTCGTTGTCTTTTCCTATACTTCTCTAACTCTCTTCCACATTACTCCTTTGTTTTGCTCCCTTTCTTTCAAGATCTGCCATTCCTCTATCCCCACTTCTAATTTCTCTCCCATAACCCAGAGTGGAGGGAGGGGAGAGAAATTTGCCTCTTCTCCATTTTATTTTCACAACAACACTGTGAGGTAGATGTAGATGACGCAACCACGTCGATCACATTGGGGGCATGGCCCCGATTGTTGGAGGGAAAACTCAATCGGGGCCACGCACCCAACGTGATTGACGTCGCGAGTCACTTCTGGGATGTGCTGGGGGGGTGCGCGTGCTTCGTGCGCACGCATCGGAGGAGAGCTTCCGGAGCCCAGCGACAATCCCCTGCCGTAAGAAGATTCGACTTGGCAACCCTATGGTGACCACAAGTCTCTCTCTCTCTCTGTGTCAGTCTAGATGACAACACCACGTTGGAAGGGGTTAACGGTATCATTTTTTTCCTTCTAAAGTAATTGCACCTGGTGATGGAATGTGGGAGATGTTTTCTCTCACTCATGGAATAAGTACCAGCTGGACTTAATTGTTTTGTTAACACTATAAGTTAGGGGGGAGAAACCTCAGCCCCATCCAGAGGCTGAAGCCTGGAGACCTGGAAGATGGTGCTAAGCAACTTTTGGACCAGGCCGGTGCTGAGCAACCTTCAGATGATACACCTGAATCTACCCACTGCTTATATTTTCAGGGCAGAAAGAGACATGGGCATCCTTTTGTTATTCTCTCTTTTATGTTTGTATAAAATGAAGCTGTTTCTGCTTCCACCACTAGTTTGGTCATTGCTTCTTGAAATCTTTAAAAGAACCATTTGCCAAAATGGGCAACACACAGTAGGTTAGTATGAGAGTGCTCAAGGTCACCAAGAAAGTTTCCATGGCAGAGTAGGGATCTGAACCTGGGTTTCCTAGATTCTAGGCCAACACCTTAACCCCTGCACAAGTTTAGCTTCCATTGCAAAGAGCATGGGGGTTGATTTGGAGATAACTTGGACAAAGATAATCCAATTCCTTTCATTTTTGGCCCTGGAACTCACATGATCACTCTGAAGCTGGTGGCCAATTTTGAGATTCCTAGTTTTATTTTCTGGTGAGTTATGTCTGCCACAAACATACTGACAGATGGAAATGCACATCCTTTCATTTTTATAGAAGTGTGGTAACAGCCAGCAAAGCGATTTGTTTTGTTATGATATTTGGTTTGGATTGAGATCATATGGGGAGGGGCAGATGGAATCTTTGTCTGGGGACCCATGGTGGCTCTTGGCTAGGGTTGCCAGCCTCCAGGTGGGGCCTGGAGATATCCCACTTTTACAACTGATCTCCAGCTGACAGACATCAGCTCCCCTGGAGAAAATGGCTGCTTTGAAGGGTGAACTGTATGGCATTGTACCATGCTGAGGCCCCTCCCATCCCCAAACCCCACCCTCTCCTGGCTCCACCCCCAAAGTCTCCAGGTATTTTCCAACCCAGACCTGGCAACCCTACTCTTGGCAGTCTTGTGCACGTAATATACAACATTGCTATATATAACCCAGAGGCTAAGGACAAAATATGACAAATGTAAAAAGCCACACTACAGAGTTAGAGAAGTATTTCTAAAACCTGGCATGTACAAGTAAAATGTAGCTTGTGTAAAGAAATAATAGAGCCCCTAGGTGGAAATGACACTTTAACGATGAGATGCCCTTGAATATTAAAGTGAAACAATTGCAAGAACTATATAATTAGGTGCATAACTGAGAGAGACCTGAGGATGAATTGGGGTTTTAGCTTACTGCCTCAAAGAAAGTGCGAAGGCTGTTTTGCTTATCTGATAAGCAATTACATTTCCGTTATAGTAAATGGGAGCGCTTTCACACCTGCTGGTTCCAAAAAGCTGAAAATGTCTTATTTCACATTGGCAAAAATAGGAACTACATTTTTTTACTCCTCTGGCCAAACAGTTTGGGATCTAAATTTCTGTATAGATTTCAGCTTTCTTCTGTGATTTCACCTACCCTCCCAGGAACACAGAAGTCCTGGACCTCCACCCCTCTTATCTCTTTTTGTTCTTCAAGCTCCCTTCCTCCTCATGACTAGAATTTTGCCTAGCCCTTCTTCCCTTTTTTTCCTATAACAGATAGCAATCCTTGAGTTGTGCATACATTTTATACTGTTAAGAGTACTAAAAGTGGAACATGTGTGCTTATTCAACTGAATGAAACACAAGGTATTTTTGCATTCTGTGAAGATCACCAGCTTCTGCATGGGACATGGCAATGTTGCAAAATTTACTTTTGCAGCGATCTGTGATATATTGTGTATGGGGGATTTCCTTCCTTCCTTCCTCCCTTCTGTAAATCAAAACTGCCACCAATAGAAAGCGACCAGGCATGAGGGGATAAATTCTACTCTAGCATTTTTAAAATCATTATATAAGAACTCGGTAGAAAAGAGTGTCTATGGTACTATCAGTCCCTAAATACATAACAATGAACTATATTTCAGGGCTGATATAAACTCTCCCATTCAACCTCAGAATAGTGTTTCAGGATTTGTATAACATGCATTCTTGGATACTGCACTGTCATTGCCTTTAGCAATCCTTCCCTTCCTGGACTGTCTCGTCCCCCCCCAAAAAAAAGTCAGTTGCAACTGATTGCTATAGCGCAATTATAACATTAATTTTGGGGGCCATGTGGAAAGATATTGCTACACAGCTGCATTTTTTTACCACAAAAATGATAAAAAGTATCAACCAGGAATCCCATCTCCAAATAATCAAACTAAGTACTTTCAAAATTCTATACCTTCCTTCCAAGTATCTGTCTTATAATTCTTCCCTTTTCCTAGTGCAACATGAACAAAAATATTAAATCTTTCTTCTGCTGTTCTTATGAAGAGGCATTAATGGAAATTTACCAGAACTTTCTCTAAGCTACTTCTTGTTAAATCCTTTGTATTTTCTTCTGTAAAAACCATTGGCAAGACCTAAGCTCTTTAGTTCTCCTGATCCAACCGGCCCAAGAAGATTCTGTTTGTCCAATGAGAATGGAGTAACGTAATCAAATTGCATGAATGTTGAAATACACACTTTTCCTTGTCATATAATAACATCCTTAGGTAAGTTACAATTGAATGAACTATCTTTTTATCATGTATTCCCATTTTCAATTAACTCACAACACAAAAATCTATATCAAGTTCTTCCTTTCTATATAACATAAAATAAAGTTTAAAAAATGGAGCTAAGAAGTCTTTTGTCCACATAACTAGCTTCTGTATCAAAAATTTATATTTAACTTTTAAGAATAAAATGTTCCTTAGACAACCAATAATATATTTATATGAATACCCACTTAAGAGTTAGCACAAAAATACAGAGACTTGAAAGGTAACTAAATAATCCAGCACTTGGTACTATAGCATCCATGGTGAATGACACATAGAAGATACTTCACTCAAGCGTTCTAGTATTTTAAAATATATAAAACAACATTCTATACCCAATGTAGAATTAAATCAATTTAAGTTAACAGTTGAAAGAGTTTCTCCCCTTTTATAATGATTCAACTGTCATCTTACATTACAATGCAGCTAAAATATGTAATTATTTTCCAAGGACAACCAACCTAATATTTGGGATAATGAAGCCTTGATCATCATTTAAAGCAAATGCAACACTATATTTTGCTTACCCAGAATACAAAAGTGACATATGCCCAAAACTTCTACAGCTGTAATTCCCCCCCATACAGACTTTAAGATGGTAAGACTATTAGTGAGCATTGCCTAGGCCTTGTAAAAGTCACCCTGAGTGGCCACAATTACCTGGCTCCACTTCATGCCATCCACTTGACTGACTGCCACTTCCTGGAGACCGCCCCTGGCTTGTATAAAATGACTCTTCTCCAGGACTGTCCATTTCATCCTCTACAGATTTGAGGCGCTTTGTAGAGCTGGAATTTTAAAACACATATTATTTGATAAATGGAAGTGAAATAAAATGCTTGACTACCATTATAGTCTTTTAGGATCATCAAAAGGGAAACTTGCCTGCCCCTTTGCTTTGAAATAGAGATAAAGGTGTGCATTAGGATATCCCTGAGCTGAAAATATACCCCAAATTCACTGTTTCGGCCATCTTGGGGATATCCAAAATTACCCCAAACATTTGAGAAGAGAGAGGAGGTCCTAAAACTGATAGACAACTTAAAAACTGATAAATCACTAGGCCCAGATGGCATACATCCAAGAGTTCTGAAAGAACTCAAATGTGAACTTGTGGATCTCCTGACAAAAATATGTAATCTTTCCTTAAAGTCTGCCTCCATTCCTGAGGACTGGAAGGTAGCAAATGTCACTCCCATCTTTAAAAAGGGTTCCAGAGGAGATCCGGGAAATTACAGGCCAGTCAGTCTGACGTCGATACAGGGTAAATGGATGGAAACCATTATTAATTAAAGAATTAGTAGGCACAGAGGTGAACAAAACCTATTGAGGAAGACTCAGCATGGGTTCTGTAAGGGAAGATCTTGTCTCACTAACCTGTTAGTGTTCTTTGAGGGGGTGAACAAACATATGGACAAGGGGGACCCAATAGATATTGTTTACCTTGACTTCCAGAAAGCTTTTGATAAAGTTCCTCATCAAAGGCTCCTAAGTACGCTCAAAATCGTGGGATAAAAGGAAAAGTCCTTTTTGTGGATCAAAAACTGGCTAATTCTTGAAAACAGAGAGTGAGTATAAATGGGCAATTTTCTCAGTGGAGGGTGGTAAGCAGTGGGGTACCACAAGGATCAGTACTTGGTCCACTGCTTTTTAACTTGTTCATTAATGATTTGGAGTTGGGAGTAAGCAGTGAAGTGGCTAAATTTGCGGATGATACGAAGTTGTTCAGGGTGGTGAAAACCAGGGATGATTGTGAGGCACTCTAAAGGGATCTGTCGAGGATGGGCAAGTGGGGATCAACATTTTTTTTTTAAATTAAATCTTTTATTAATAATCAACAAAGTTACATAAACCACGAAAAATAACAATGAAAGATCGTCCAAAAATATACAATTAGTTAAATAAATAACCATAACTCCAGGTACAAAACTATTTAGGATAAAGCATGACTTTGAAATATACATACAAACCTTTATCAAACAATTCAATTCCAACTTACTCAGTGAGAGAGTGAAGTAGAAGAAGAGAAGGAAGAAAAGGGAAAGAAAGAAAAACTGGAAAAAGAGAAAACCGGTACAAAAACAGTCCAACATTTAACCTGTTACAAAGTTACGGATAACCGATTTGTCAAGTACATTTATTTTTGAGTAATCTGTATGTTTGAAAAAATAGTCAACAAAAGGAGCCCATTTTTTTTCAAAGTTAAGTCGTCGAGTAACAACCTGAACACAATCTATTTCCAGGGAAATCTTGTCAAAAACAAAATAATCCCAAGATTTATAAAGCCATTCCAGGATCGATGGGGCTACTGTGGATTTCCACTTGGTTGCTAATATTGTCTTAGCAGCTGAAAATAAAATAGCTGAAAGTTCTTGTTCCTGCTTAGAGATTGTAATTTGTAGGTCATCCCAAATGTTTAGAATAATAACCTTAGGCGAGAAAGGAATCGTATTTTTTATAATTAGATTAACTATATTTACAACTTGAGTCCAATATTTTGCAACTATCGGGCAAGTCCACCATACATGTAAATAATCACCTTTAAGGCCACAGCCTTTCCAACAAAAGGGGGTTACTGAAGGAATGGCGTGTGAGAGTTGGATAGGAGTTTTGTACCACCTTGTTACTGTCTTAATAGCTGACGTTTTGATATTTAGACATGGGGAGGAATACAAAGGGGATTTCCATATCCCTTTCCATTGGTCTTCCCCCAATATTTGACCTAAGTCACGATGCCATGCTTCCTGGTATTTCAAATGTCCTGAGTGTTTAAGATTAGTTAAAATCAGATATATTCGTGAGATGAGACCTTTGATGGGGGGGGAAGGGTTAAATAGAATTTTTCGAACTCTGTAAGATTTAGGCGTAGATTATTCCCTTTTGTGGAGTTTAATAGAGCATTCAGTTGTAGATATTCAAACCACGGTAAATTTGCGGAGTGTGAACTTTCTAGTGATAGTTTAGGCTTTAGAAAACCTTGTGAGGTAACATCAATAAATCTTGTAATACACAGCCTTCTCCATGTCTTGAAGGAGTGCGGCTCTCGGGCTGGCTTAAACCATTTTTGTCCGGTGAAGTTTGTTAGCGGTGAAAGGTACGGTGTTAGAAGGTGGTTGAATTTGTGCCATGTTTGTAGCGTAGGCTTTAGGAATGGGTTAAAAGAAGTAATGTGTTTTCCCCTCGACTTGAAATTCCATAAAATCTCCTGAAAAGAGTATATGGGAAGAGTTAATTCTTCCATTGTTTTCCATTCCGCCTCGTATGACTGTCTGTATTGTTTAACCAAATTAGTCAAAATTATAGAATCATAATATAGTTGAATGTTAGGAATTGCTAAGCCCCCCTCAATAATAGGCAAAGTTGCTGTTTTTATGTTTGTTCTTGGTTTTTTATAGGACCAAATAAACGAGTTGATGTCCCTCTGCCACTTCTGAATGAGGGAGGTTGGAAGTGAAATTGGGAGAGCTCTCATATAAAAAATGATTTTTGGTAATATCATTGCTTTAACCAACTTAATACGTTCAAGTAAAGTGAAGTATTGATCATTCCATTTTTTAAGTAGGGAGGTGATGTGTACAGAGATATTCATATGGTTGTGTTGTAGAAGATCTTTTAAGTCTATAGGAATTTGTATGCCGAGGTATCTAAAGGATGAGGTTACCCATGTATATTTGAAGTGTGTTTTTAGAAAGGCTGTGGTTATAGGGGACATTTGAATGGGATATAACAGTGATTTTTCTTCATTAATTCGGAGACCAGAAATAACACTGAAGTCCATAAAATGCTTTTCAATTTTCTTTAGTGAATCTTTAGGTTGCGAGATGAATAAAATCATGTCGTCAGCATATAAGCTAACCTTTGATGTATAATTGTTTACAGAGATTCCGTGGATTGAAGGATCGTCCCGTATGAGGTGGGCTAACGGCTCCACTGCCAAGGCGAACAGGAGAGGGGACAAGGGACAACCCTGTCTAGTGCCTCGCGTCATCGGTTGAATAGCTGTATTAAGATTATTAATATTCAATAAAAATTTTGATGAATTATAAATGGAACGTATTGCGTGAATAATTTTATCTCCAAATTTCATATGTGACAATAATGCTAAAATATAATTGTGCTCCACGGAATCGAAAGCTTTTTCATAGTCAATTGACAACAAGCAGGAGTCAGCTAACTGAAGACGATTAGTATAAGAAATAATATTAATGGCTTTCCTGATGTTATCAGTTAGATCTCGTTGTGGTATGAAACCAGTCTGTTCTTTTGAAATATAATCTCCTATAATTTGGTTAAGCCTTTGGGTAATAATATTTGTGAATAGTTTATAATCGTTGTTTAATAGCGAAATCGGTCGATAAGACCGAGGATCTTCAGGGTCTTTATCTCTTTTATGGATTAAAATTACTCTGGCTAAGTCCCAAGACTGTGGTAGAGGACCGTTGTCTAATATAGAATTGAACAGATTTAAAAGAGTTGGCGCAATCTCCTCCTGGAATTGTTTATAAAATTCGGAGGTATAACCATCCAATCCAGGCGATTTGTTAGTTTTCATTTTTTTAATAGCTATTTGCAGTTCCAAGATATCGATAGGGTGGTCTAAGAATTTACGATGGGTCTCTGAGAGCATTTTAATTGATTTGTTAGATTTCAAAAAAGAGTTAATTAGATTTTGTGAGGGGTGGCTCGAGGTGTATAAATTTGAATAGAACGATTGAAAAATGGAAACAATTTTATTTGTGGACGTATGTAGCGTGCCTCTATTATCCTTAATACCTGTAATAATCGTATTTGCTTTCCTTTTTTTGACCTTCCAGGCAAGCATACGAAGAGCCTTTGGATTGTTTGCCCAATAAGCTTGTTTCGTATATAAAATGTTTTTTGCTATTTTGTCGGCTTCTAGGGCTTTAAGTTTTTTCCTTTCTAGTTCCAATTTTTGGTAGGTTTTTTGGTTACAAGAGATTTTGTGATCTTTTTCTAAATTTTTAATATCTGAGATTATCTTTTGTTTAATACTGTTGATCTTTTTATTATGAGCTGCCTCCAATGAAATTATTTTGCCCCTCAGGACTGCCTTATAGGCGTCCCAAATTACATTTATTGAGGAGTCTTGTAGTGTGTTATATGTAAAATATTCTTTAGTATCTGCAACTATTTGTTTATGTATGTCCGGATTTTTTAATAAAAAATTATTTATACGCCAAGTAAAGCTTCTATCAGCCGTGATATTAAAATTAAATTTGCAAAGTACTGCGGCGTGGTCCAACCAACACATCGGATCTATATCCGCAAAAACAAGATTGTTGACCAATTCTTTAGATATTAAAATATAGTCAATTCGAGAGTAGGATTGATACCTATTTGAAAAAAAAGAATAATCACGTTCACCATCATGTAAAATCCGCCAAGCATCCGTAAAGCCATATTGAGTAAAAAGCTTATGTAGGCCAGTAAATCCTTCGTGAGTGGCGTATCTTGTATTAGAAGTGTGCGATGAGCTTTTCTTATCTAAAATTGAGTGAGCTACATAGTTTAAATCTGAGCCAATTATTAATTGGCCTTCTTGGAAAGTTCTTATTTTTTCAAATATCTCCTTAATGAAGGTAAGCTGACCCGAATTGGGGGCGTATATTACCGCCAAGGTGACAGTTCTTTCATTCAGCAGTCCTTTTATAATCAGGTATCTTCCGTGAGGATCTTGTATTTTGTCAATAAGGGAAAATTTGTTACGCTTTGAAATTAATATAAGAACTCCCCGTGCTTTAGATGAACCCGGTGCATCAAAGCACTG